AGAGAGAGAGAGAGAGAGAGAGAGAGAGAGAGAGAGAGAGAGAGAGAGAGAGAATCTTTATTTAATATATAAAAATACTTATAAAAAAAGAAAATGGAAAATAAATCTAATAAGGGCAGTTTAGTCATTTCAATTTTACGAGGGACCAAATCTACGTACAAACATGGCCAAAAGGACTACAAATCCAAAAAAGTCAGGGTTTGGACCAAAACCCCAAAAAATGCATACCACAGTGACCATTTTTGCAATTTTGTCATTAAATAATAAGATTTAACCTATTTAAAAGTAGTTATCCTTATCAACTATATGGAGGCTTCTAGAACCCTTTCGGAACTCCTTAAAACCGTCCACTATAGGGAGGTTCTAGAATTGCCTCTATTGCTCAACAATTAAACAATTGCAATTCAACTCTTGTACCTTTAATTAATTTTAATTAATTTCCAATTAACTATGATTAATTCTAAATTAATTCTAAACTATTTCTAACTAATTTATTAATCATATAATAAATAAACAAATCACTTCTTAACTCTCAAAAAGTCGTTCCTAGCTATTTCTAGTTATTGAGGGCAACCCAAAAAGGACTTTGCTTTTATTCCATAAAGTTATACCAATTTAGTTATAACCTTAGACACCTAATCCAACAGTCACCCACTTGGATAAGTCATCAACTACAATTACAAATATAGACTTTGAATAACCACCAAAGTGTGCTTTCCAAAGCCACTACCTAACTCTGAATTAAATCAGACGTTGGCCCTAAGATAAGTGATTAACTATTCATTCGCTCTAAAAGATATCGTATGAACACGAGACATGTATACAAATCAATCTCATAGTCCAAGATTTTGTTTCCAGATTTCTAATTTATGATGACCTTATTAGACTACAAATTGAACAGACCAATTTAGTCCAGGTTAGGCCCATCACTAAAATGTCAACATCAAATCACCGAGGAGACCAAGGATATAGATTTTCCTTTTAAAGGCAAAAGAAACGAATAAACTTTGATTACATAATTATAAACTTTACTCATCATACTATACATGGAACTACATTTTATAACATCCAGTTACAGATGCGTTAATGTAATACCAATGCAGAACAGAGTTGTAAACTATAACTTATGTATCTCTGCTCGAAGAATAGAGATATTATCGTCTTAGAATTACTCGTGATTGAATCCATAAAGTAATCTCTAAGCGGGATTTAACCAATACTTAACACTCTATTTAAGCACCCATGCGTATAGCAACAATCTCTATGCCATGTCCAATCACTATAAACAATCTACTAATACTCTACGACAATCTTTAATCAATACTTTACTCCCAAAATTATGACCGAATATGGCGTTTTGAATAGTTTAGTACACAAACTCATAAATAAATCTCTATTGTTTTATCACAAAAAAACAATTACTGAAACGTCCCATAAATTAAGACTAAAATTTTGATTTTAAATTTATGAAACCATTATCCAAAACAACATCAAATCAGAGTATATCAAATAACATCCAAGTACAATCAGGGTCATATAAAATGTGGAACAACGTGGTGTGTGCACTGCAATCATCCCGAGCTCTTCCCCTTCGAACCAGAAGTACCTGAAACATAAACTGAAAATCGTAAGCATAAAACGTACTGAGTTCCGCAAAATACCACATACTGTACATATCAAACATATAATGGGCCCCATAACAGAATCAGACCCCTCCTGGCATCGGGCTCCGCCCAGTATACATACAAACATATAAACACATGAAAGTATCACAAAAATAAATAACATACAATATAATCATCGGGCCCCGCCCGGTATACATATAAACATATAACACATGCAAAAGTCACGCATACAACTAGCATTTAATCATAACAAACCATGGGCCGACATTAGTGCCTTCGACCCGCCAAACACAATGAGGAAAGTCACCTCAAGCTGCAGAATCTATCAGATAAAATCTCGGTCTGTTGGTCCGCAAAATCCCCGCACTAACATCATCAAATAATATCCAATTAATAATTGGATCTCAACTCATAATCAAGAATCTAAAGTACTTGTCCAACATCTAGGGTAAAAGACCACTTTACCTTTTTCTTACCTGGCCCTAAACCAAGGCCCAACCCATTTACTCAAAAGGCCCAAATTCCTAAATGGCATCCCAAGGCCCAATACGGCCCAACTTCCAAATTGGGCCCAAAATCATCATGGACCTAATCCCAAGAAAGCCCAATAGCCCATCCATGGCCAAACAAGGCCCAAACCCTAAAAGCCCAAAATATGGCCGACACCCGTGAAAGTCAACCCAAAAGTCAACAGTTGAGTACGCTAGGCGTACTCAGACTACGAGATGTTAGGAACCGAAAAGGACCTATATAAAAGGCACAAGTGCACATTTGTACAAAGCTCTTTGGACCATATCCATAGGTGAAAAGGAAAATCCCCTTTAAGGAATATTTTTAGTTTTTCGGTGGATGCACCGTTCAACGATTTAAATGCTTCTTTGGCCTCCTTCGGTGTGAAAAATTTATATATAAACCTTAAGGTTTCCAGAGGGTATCCTTAGGCACCCATTACCATATTATGAGGTAGATCTGAGGTTGAACTATTATTTGACTATGGATTTTAGATCTAGATAAATCTATGCGTTTGCATTGTTTGCATTTAATAGTAAGTACTTTTATGAAACCATGTACATACGGTGTCTTTATATGTTATATGATTCAGTTGTAGATCCTATTGGATGATGTTACGTATTTCCTTCGGCTATTATTTTCATAAAGGAAAGTGATTTTATGAAACCACACCCTTCTTAAGGCTATGCGTCGTGTCTCGAGTTGAATGATTAGATGAGTTGACCCTAATCATATCTGTTTAATTTATGTATTGTGGCAACTTGGTACTTAAACAAATTAAAACCTTGTGCCCAAAGCTTATGTCTATGTTGGTTTTTACTAGCTCTAATCGTTTCTACTGGATAGTATTTAAATTCTGGACATATTCTAACAATATGGTGTAGTGTTTTCTTTCTCAGATCTTGGAACCTTGATATCTACACCGAAGTTGATAAAAATTCATTGCTGTAACAACAGCCTTTAATCTTGGCCATTGAATTTTCTGTTCCAATAAAACAAAAATAAAACTACAAGAGTTTGGAATGTGTGGTTGTGTTTGAGTGAATTTGCATATATGTTGGTTTTATGGCATTACAAAAAAGTGTTTGAAGAAATACAGTACAAGGCAAACCAAACCATTATTGACAATAAATAAACCTCAAAATCATTCAAAGACCAAACTAATAATAAAATGACAAGTGGCAACACCACAATAGTTGGATATTTTAATTTTAATCTTGAGGAGCTTCAAATCTTGTTGGGGTGTCGATACCCGCCATACAGCAGAGACCCGAAATCAAAATTATCAGTAAAACAAGCCCCTGAAGAAAAATCAAACACATCACAACATAACATTAATAACATATTTACCTTTTTAACCCGGTCCCAAGTATCATTATGTAAAAGAGGGATAAGTTTTTAGTTACCACAAAAAGTCCCTCCAACAATGATGACTTAATTTGGCAAACTCCATCACAAGTAGAGGAATTGTTTGATGATGCATTTCCAGATGACTCAGCAAGAAACCTGTCCACCTGGCGATATGAAGGGTAACGCAGGACATTGACCGGGTCAGACACATATAAAACCGAGTATTTTGCTCCTGTCTCCTCCACTGAACTCATCAGCTTAGACAAAACTTCCCCTGAAATAAATGCATTTTCAATTTTCAAATAATAATTTAATTAATAATTAATTACAAAATTTACAACAATTCCACATACCTTCAGAGTCATCTCCTTCATTGGTAAAGACAACCAGTGGTGTCTGCCCCTCAGGTTTCTTTTCCATACTTGAAGCTACATATTCCTGTTATTCCACATTCATATTTAATTATTTATAAAATATATTATGAAATTTATAAATCTTCCAAATATGTTATTACATGGACTGAGTTGATGTCAGTGAGTTTCTCAATGTTTAATCCTGCATCATTTCCACATGTTTCTGAAAACTCAGAAACTAATTTATCTTGCACAGCCTCATCCTCTTCAGATGCAGATATGTAAGGGTATGCTAAGGAAAATGTCGAGCTCATGAAGGAAGCCTGTTAACAATGGTGTGGTTATAAGGAAAACAGAATGAGGGGCAATTTGGTAAATGTTGAAAAACTTGAACTAAACGATCTTTAGTTGAAGAATTACCCTGAGCAAGTTAAAAAGTGGTTTGACTTCTTGTTTGCGTCCAGAAATATCCAGAGGCTGTTAAAAATCGGTAATGACATTAGAAGGAATCCGGAGGGTAGAAATGGAATTTTTGGATTTTTTTTTTTCTTTTTATAGTTTCGAATGATTCTTACCTCTTTTCCAACAAAAACAATTGCAAGATCAATGGATTGTTCAGGTTTCTGACTGGAGCACTGAGAAAATAAAAGCAGCATAAGGCTTCCAAACAATTGCATGAAATATAAAAAAATAAATAAATAAATGAAACTAAGTAAGAAAAAATTACCAGTAAGTTTGACCAGCCACCTTCTGACATGACAGATTTGGCCAAGTCCTTTGGAGAAAGGGTTTGATAACTCACACCTTCCTTCACTTTGCTTGTAGGAGATCTGTGGTTTCCATATCAGTAAAAGATTTAAAAAAGAAGAGCAATAATGGAACATAAAAGATATACTTAAGGAGATGATTAAATAAAAAAAAGTTTATCCCTTTCATGACTGCTTGTATCTTTAATATAAAACTTCAAATTAATCTCATAATAACTTTAACAAGCTCTCTTATTTATCTAGAGGATAAAGAGATCGTATGATTACCAACAATGACAAGCAAAATAGTATGATTAATTTTGAGTTCTAACAGAAACAAGAATTATTGAAACTTCTGTTATGAAATGTAGACATACTCTTCTTTGATGTTTGACCACAAAAATGCAGGGGATGTAGGTGAGAAGGTAAACCCAAGTGGCAGTTGAGATACCACAAGCAAGATTACCACAAAAACTGCTGCAATTGTCTTCATATCTCTCTTTTGGAGACAATATTGTCACCTGAAATGAGAGTGCACATGGATTAAAGTAAGTACACGTATGTATTTATGTAACACATATAGAAAAAACAAGACATGAACTAGTGATTATAAGAATTACATAGAACATTCTATATAAATGCATGTGGGGGTATATATGAGATTCATGCATGAGCATGTGTTTACAAGTTAGATAGAATCATAGAAGCTTGGTTGTAAGTTGTAACTTGTAAGGTTTTGAATGCAAAATAACATGATTTGAGTAGAATGGGAATAGAAAGGAAAATGAATGAGATCAGACAGTAAAGGATAGAAGATCAAGCAGTGTAGATGCCAATAGAAAGGAAAATGATGACGAAATGGAAAAAAATAATTCTGATATATCAAGCAATATATTATAAAAAACAAGAAATGGCCATAAGGTACATAATTCAGACCCAATCTAATGACCAGAAGTGATGGCAAGCAAGGAAAATAACAACATTCAAAAGAAATATGCAAGTGTACACCAATGGAGATGTTGCTAAAAGAACTTTCTGCTATTCAAATGTTAAGTTTATCTTAAAGATTGTTTACAGAATCACACCTGAGATAGGGAGTGATGTGTTATTGCCAAAAGGAACAAAATTATTAAACTTCAAATCTGAAGCAACAGACTACTAGGCAGTACAAAAGTAGACTGGCGATTAACAAATTCTTCATATTCTAGCACAAGAACCTGATATAACTCTAGAACTCAATCCACAGACCAATGAACTATCGGCCTACGGGTTATAAAATTATAATAAATTATCTTCTAATCTAGATTGCAATCAAACGTGTAGATCAACGGATATATTTTTTTCAATTAAAGCATTACAGGAACATTTCTTTTATATCAGATTGATTGGAAGGAGATCTAAATGGATAATTACCTCAAGGTGATTTGAGGAAGAGATATATAGGAGAAGCGGAAGTCGAAGAAACTTTGGAGGCGAGATCGCGGTGGTGATAGGCGGAGGTAGGTGGATCTTGCAAGATCAGAATACGATTTTCCGGTGAGTGCTAGGGCAGAAGGCAGATGATGAGATCGTTAATCGATTCTCAGAAACTCTCCGCCATTCAATAGATGTAATTAGGAACTTTGACAAAACGATTTTTGTACCCCGGTTCTTCAGTAAGACATATTTTCATTTAGGGTCCTTATTTTATAACAATACTCAAACTACCCCCTCTAAATAATAACGACGACAACAATAACAAAAATAAGATGAAAGTAAGATGGTGGACAGTCGCATCTGTTTTCAGAAAAGACCTTCGGCAAAGCAATAAATAAAAATAATAATAATAATAAGGACAAAATGTCTTCTCGTCGAACATAATTGAATAATAAAATAAAATGTCACTCCACCACTAAGAATTAAAAAAAATAATTGAATAATAAAATAAATTTAAGGGAAGGAAATGAAAGACTCATAGAAATACAAACTAAAGCAAATGTCACCCTAAAAGGGTGACAAATACAAACAATCTAGAATACATAGAGTAGACCATAGCCATGAAGTTGGATCAAATACTAGTAAATACAAAGTACAATAAAAAGGAGACAAAGGGCAAACAACCCTCCTCAAAGACCACACTTAGAACCAATGTTAAAAAAAATGTTAAACACAAAGGGCTATTCCTATGTTGTTTTGCTAATTCTCATTCTACAAATCCACATCCTCCTATGTGAAGTCATGTCACCATAAAAACGTGTCTCCTTAAAATCTAACATTATACTATCTATCTATTTTCTTCGCGAACGTCATCTCCTCCTCACACCATTCAAAATAATTGTCTCCACCTTTCCAAGTACATGAGGCTAATGTCTCCTACGAACATGTTCGAACCATCACAATCTTCTTATCCTTAATTTCTCATTAATTGACATCACTCCTAGTGAGTTTCTGGTTATGGAGTTTGGAACCTGATCCAACTAATATCTACCACACATCCATTATAGTGATGCATGTCCATAAGTTGTAATACTAAAATATGATGTAATTTATAGGAATTTGGGCATGCTAATGCCAAATTGATTATATCTATTGTTTTCATCATTTCATGTCACAAAATTATGGTTGTATAATTAAAATGTTATATATATATCCGTTATAGTGATGCATGTCCATAAGTTGTAATACTAAAATATGATGTA